TTTTTTTTTTAACGCGCGGACGACGCTTCCGGCATCTTCGTTCCACGGCGAATGTTTGTTTATTTTCGAAGCTTCGGAGGGTCAGCGGCGCGAATCGGCGATCGAATTAATTGCGTTTGTTCCGCGTGTATTCGACTGCACGCGACCTCGAACACTGCTCGGTTAAGGCTGACGTTTAACGGTGCGTGAGCGAGGGCCAAGAACCTTCGCATGCACGCATCGAATATATTGCCTCCTCGCAATTCGCGCCAGTCATCAAGCGATTGCTGGCAGGGGAGAGAGAGAGAGAGAGAGAGAGAGAGAGAGAGAATATATGTATACTTATTATTATTTATATTTTTTTCGCTTTTGCCTAGTTCCCGTTACACCACCGCCGCCTCTCACTCAAGAAACAGTTATCATGCCATCCGGAGCAGCTATGACTTTATGCGTACCATTGGCTCGTCCGACATCGTGTCTAAGTCCAATGCCGCCAAGCGAACCATGCTCCGAGAAAGAGTCCAAGGACTTATGTAAAGAACACAACAGTTCCATCACGACTGTCGCTGGTTTCCTGCAGAGCCTCGGTTTGGAACATTTACTCGAGCTGTTCGAACGCGAGCAAATTACTTTAGATATACTAGCAGAAATGGGTCATGAGGATTTGAAGCAAGTTGGAGTATCAGCTTATGGCTACAGACATAAATTAATTAAAGGCATGGACAAGCTGTTAAACACAGCAGCGGGTTCTCTTTGGCAACCTTCCATAAATCCCGGGACATTATTAGTGGATTTATTAGCGGAGGACAAAGAATTCTTGGCTGTTGAAGAAGAAATGCAAAGTACTATTAGGCAACACAGGGATAACGGCCACTCTGGCGGTATCTTTTCTCGATATAATATAGTTAGAGTACGTATAACTATTATTTAACTATATCAAGAATAATAATTAATAATGTTTTTATCAGTAATTTTTTTAATTAAAAAAGGTATTATATATTTTTTAGATACAAAAAGTTCAGAATCGCAAATTGTGGGAGCGTTATGCTCATAGACGACAGGAAGTAGCTGAAGAAGTCGGCGCAGCCGCTCCCGCTTCTCCTGGTACTGGACCGAGGGGTACTTCCAGTTCGACAGTATCACAGGCGAATGAGAGAATGTTGTTTCACGGAAGTCCATTCATCAACGCCATCGTTCAAAAAGGCTTTGACGAGCGGCACGCGTATATCGGCGGAATGTTTGGTGCTGGTATATATTTCGCGGAGCACAGCAGCAAAAGCAATCAATATGTTTATGGTATATGTGGTGGTACCGGATGTCCCGCGCATAAGGACAGAAGCTGTTATATTTGTCATAGACACTTACTGCTGTGTAGAGTTACGCTCGGTAAGTCATTTTTACAATTCTCGGCGATGAAAATGGCGCACGCCCCTCCCGGTCATCATAGTGTAATGGGTAGGCCGTCGCAGGGTGGCTTGGTATTTCCCGAATACGTTGTCTATCGAGGCGAACAAGCGTATCCCGAATATCTTATTACATATCAAATCGCGAGACCCCAGCAGGAAGGCGGCGGTAGCGAGGGCGTCGAGGAACGGTGATCGAAAGAGCCGGGTCCCGCGGCGAGATTGCGCAGCCTCTGTTGCTGTCAGAGACCGAGGACATGCAATGCATTGTCGCGGACATAAAAAGCGCGAGCTATTTCGTATTTAACTCCATCAGTTCTTCCATTTTTAATTTATTAGAATGGAACTGTGCGAAAGTAACAGAGCGCGCGCGCGTGTTGATGTGTGTGACCGAAATATATGCACTTATAGAATATTTTATTCCAAAATAATATCTAAACTACTTAAAAAAAGGAAATGGCCGTTGTAATAGCTTATTCATAGCATTTAAACGTGATATTATTTAAGCACAGTCCAAGCGGAGATAGATGTATATTGATTATGATGTATATATCGATATAGATTGCAAGTGTGCGTTTCTTACATCAGATTTGATGTGTCAATTAGTGTGTTCCTAGGTTAGTCAGTATTAAAAGAAATTGCAATGTATTCGTATACATATGGGAAACCTAATTTATATTGACACATGTTTTGCGTGGAAAAAATTAAAAGGATAGGAAAAAATATTTGATCTTGAAAGTATATAAAATCATCGAAGAAAGAATGTAATTTAACTGGTCGTCTCACACATAATATAGTAGCTATAATATAAATTAATCGATTTGATATATACATTATAAGTAAAGTCTGCAATATGTGTATGATAAAATGTATATTTATATGTACAAATATAAATTCGTTTTTTTTTTCTATATATATATATTGAAAAATTTTTTTAATATTACATGGTATGAATAATTTTTGTATTTTTATTTTAAGAAGCTATCCAACCGAGAGAGATATATCTGTAAACTATTATTATTTTATTTTATATTATAAAGTTTATTTAATTATTAATATAGATGCTCTTTTACATTTCGGACTTTACTTACAATGCATATAACATTTATAGTCTTAGCGTAAGTATTGTATATAAAATTCATAATTATCTCTATTCTTTAATATTTCGTAAATGTAATCAATGGGGTTCCTATATAATTCGATAGCGATTTTTCAAATACTGTACAGCCTCTTTTTACCAAGATAATATAGCTATTTTATTAATGTCAACTTGTTTTTGGAGGAAAGAAGATATCAAAAGATATCTACGCGCTGCAAGTAACTCTGAAAACAAAACTCGTACGCATTGTCAGGGCCGGGTATAATACGTAGCTGCAAATTATTATGACATCGAAAAACGATTTATTAAATAATCGAATTAGCTTTACTTCAAGATACGCATAACGCCGTTCAAGGAATAATAATTTTTCTAAGCAAGCTGAATATCGAACATACTGATCTCATTAGAAATGCCGTCTTTAATTATTCAGGGTACATATTGCATACAAAATTATTTCATTGTAATTAAAAAGAGAAACAACTACGCAAATATATATAAAAATAATACGACCGCATATAGCAAGAAACGAACACCACAATCGCAATTGCAATAGTCTTAACAATTATTCTCTAGGTGATGGGGCGACTCTTTGTATTTATGGGAGTTTCAAATTCATTTTAAGTAAACTGCTACCGATTATCTGTGACAGAACATGGACACAGAGCTAATGATTTCTCTGCGCTACTGCATCTGCTTTAATGCCGATAGTACAATATTTTCATGTAAAGCAGATATGCAGTAATAGGCCAGAATTATATATATGAAGTGCATACATATTACCACTGTGTTCTACTTGTAAGAGAACGAGAGACTTATGAAGAAAAACAATGACTTTCTTTAATTGTTAACGCGTGAGTTTTTGTCTGTACTTTATTTTATCCTCTTGTGCGATGTTTTTAGGATTAAAAAAGCACATACAAACAATTTCTCCTTTCCCTCATAAATCATCTGCCCAAGAATTATTAAAGTTGTGCTCCATTATAATACGCGCTTTTAGCATTAACATCGATATTTGTAAATTTCTTTATCAGCCAATTGCAAAAATCTTGTTTCTCTCTCAACTAACAGGATGCCTGAGCACCGATATCTTCGATGTATACAAGCATCATCCAATGAAACTCATTAAAACGTAAATATTTTCAGCGCGTGTTGCATAGCTATATCGTGAGATTTAATTTATATAAGTAAACAGTTACATTCGATAAACAGTTTAATCCATAATATTGTGCGGGTATCCCTCGCTTCTCTTCATTCAATCATCCGTTAGTGTCATCTACTTTATGAACTATATTATGTTACATCATCCACGGCATTTTTTCGATTTCAAAGCTCTTTTTGTATGATGCAAGATATATTCGAAATACATTCTGAGAAGATGCATGTTATATACATTGATGTTATAACAAAATCAATAACATTATATGCTTCGTTGTATAGCAGATAAATTACTTATGATACTTTATTATCTATGATCCTTTTTTTTTCTTTTTTTTGTATTTTTATTAGTCTGAAAGTTTTGTTTACCAAAGTATTTCCTAATTGAATAAAAGAGGAGTAACATTTTATAATATATTTATTTTATATTACTTTTGTGCGCGGAGCAAAATTCCTCTTTGATATTAACGCTATAAATATTGATATTTTATCTATTTTTCCCCGTAACGAAATAATGAATTTTATGAGACTAAAAATGGTTAGCCGCAGAATGCGTTCTGCTAATTAATGCTAGAATGTATGTTATTATAATTTATAATCGCGATGTAACATATGATCATGTCTGAATACTTTAATATCGGGATCAATTTGCATGATCACAACGTAGCACGTTCTTTTAACGTGCAGCAACAGTAAATACATTCTTAAATACGCACATATCTTAAGAGCAACCTACAGAAATTTTTGTGTATACTTTGCTAGTATAATATAGGTCTAAACTTTAAACTGTGTAAAGGGTATCATTTCGCGCGTTTTTTCGACGATATCCTCGATATCATTGAAAGCAAAAACAAGTTCGACTCTGTTGATATATTCCTCGGATGGGAAAAATTTGCAAAAATTAAATTGCAACGACCAATACCGATCGTTTGTTCTCGTTTCGTGCGCTCCCAGTGAGGAATACAGATAGAAAAAAAAAGTCTATTAGACATCTACAGACGTCTGTCACGTTCTCGTCGGCCGTTCCTTCAATGGAAAATCACGCAGCGACGAATCTTTTATAAATTATGTTAATGTAATGCATGTTCACGCACCGTGCTATATCGTTTGATGAATCGTCATATTCTGATCGTTGGCGCCATTAAGTGGCACTTTAATAATAATCTCTTTCGCGATATCTTTTTACTCTTTATCTCGTATTTCATTAAAAAGAAAACCCAATGCTGCAAATCGTAATATTATTTTCTGTCACTTGTTTATTCGTTATCTTGCGTCCTGTTAATTATAAAATATCATTATGTATATTTTTACTGTATAAGAAGGAGATGTACATTTTATCATACGAAAATTTAAATCGCAATGCAAATATAACTTTTATTTTCTCACGAAATTGTTTCACGGTATGGAAAGATAATTTTATGCAGTGCGATAATCGCGCGACTCGGTTGTTAACACTAAAAATACCAATATGCGCACTGTCATTATATCCAGCTCAATCCGGTACGTCAACGACACCTGTTTATCACGACATGCATATTTCATGTTACAGACGTACTATTAATAGACAAACGCTTCTCGCTTATGCGTGGTAAATTCCACATAAACAGCGTCGGCAGACCGCCGAAGGAGATTTGACGCCGGTTACGTCAAGTAAGTTACACGTGCGAGAGTTCGCAAGGTCGACTCCAGACACCGTCTTGCACCGAGCCGCGTGCGTATCGTATTCGCGATACCGCGTAACACGGCAATTTTTCAAAGGGGAAGGGGAGAAAAGATATTCTCGCAATAAATGGAACACGTTAAAAGGCTGGCGCCGCAGACAGAACCGGTATATTAAAATCGTGCTCGCTCCGCTGCAACATATTATAGCGCGAGAAAATCAACCCGTCGGCTGCAAACCGCGAAGAATGCCAAAAGCACGTGACTCGCGCGCCACTTCGATTCGTAAAGGCGCCGCGATCACGTGAATGTCACGCATGACAGTGGGCGCGCATGCGCGCGTTCACGCCGCCGGCCGGCTCGCGCCCTGCGTTCAATTCAAACGCGCGTCGGACGTAGTCGAAGACAGAGATTAGTACCGCGCGATTGACGGCGCGCCGTCCGAATTCCGCGAGGCAGAGGTTGAACTCTCGCTCTTTTCGAATGATATCGCGATCTCGCGACTTTTCGTGTATCGGTCGAGGAACGTTCGATCGAATGGCGACGGATTAAGATAAAGGCCGCTGTCGGTCGTGTGCGACGGAGTCGGTGACGGACACGCGTGCGATGCGCTGCACAGCGGTTATTAACATGTGAGAGGAAGAGAGAAAGAGAGAGAGAGAGAGAGAGATCCGTCCAACAATTCTATCGATCCTTTATACATGATCGACGTATATATATATATAGATTTCTTTTATACATCGTTCGCCTAATAAAGATCGAAATTCAATAATCGCGGTATACTCGAGTTCCGGATTATTTTTCCGGAGAGAAAGACGCAGCTACAACTGACAACTCGATTTCCGGTCTCAAAGTTGCGGAGTAAAAAGAGCAAAAAAGGGGACAATCTCGTGAGAAAGAAAAACGTCGGTGGGAACTGACGTAAAGAAACGAAGGAAACGTCCACGAAGGTTCCTTATATCCATTCCCCGTTGTGTCGGAGGGATCTATCATTACTGCGAGAAACAGTAAGTAACTCGTTGTTCTTTATCGCTCTTCATTGGTTCATTAACATCTCACGCGTGGGCAATATGTACATCCTTTGCATGCTAGATCTCGCGAGATAGAATGATTCTATTCCGAGCACTTACGATGCGAACGATTCGCCAATGATACAGACACGATTAATTTCGAGTTTAATATTTAATGAAAGAAAGCTCTTTTATTCATCGTTTCGTTTTATCATGTTCGTAAATAAAAAAGTCCGTTCAATAAAATAACAGAAAATACGGATGGAGTTAAGAGAGAGAGAGTATATTTTATTTAGATTAGAAAGTTTTCTGTGTCGCAGCGACAGTTGAAGTTTGAACATGCTAAATGCCAAAAGATATTTTCTTTTAATATAAAAAGAAAATATATTTGTATTGAAACATCTTCACTTATATGTCACAATGACATTGGTTTTCCAATTTCTTTAATAATTAATGTTATATAATTTAATAAATTAAGAATGTTTGGAAATACAGTTAATACTGAAAAATGAATCAATAATACAATAAAATTGTATTGTAATAATTGATAACTCTTAAAGCTAACAATAAGATAGATTCTTCGATTATAATTTTTTGTTTTTGCCATATATATTTGAGAGATACTCTTGCTTCTGAAATTTTGTATTGTCTACTTTGAATATCATAGAGATCGTAATATTACAAATGTATGCGTATATGAAAATTACTGAAGCTGATATTATCATTTTTCAATAAGCTCATTGTTAGATATATTCACATAGCTTCTATATTTACTCAATGTATTTCAAAATATAAATTATAGTAATTGGCGTAAAGTATATTTTTTATATCTGTAGTCAAAAAATTCTATAATATTCAAAAAATTCAACTTATCCCAACATATTGTATCAGTTACGAGCGAACGCGACGGTGCAGTACTCCATTTACACACGCACTGCTCTGAAATGATGCGTACATCTGCAATAAACCTGGATGTTTCCCTTGCGGCTGGGAATAACTTGTAGTCGCGAATTTCACATTTGACACATGCGAGAGTACGATTTATTTATATCCAACAAAATAAAGATTCTGTTTACAAAATAAAGATTGTGTTATGCTTGACACTTTATTATCAATGCTATGGTTTGATTCTGACTAATGTATAGATGACATTGAATTTAGGCATAAAATGAGGATGAGATAAAACTCAGATTTTGAAACAAATGTGACGCGAACAGATAACTCGGATTATAGCGAAAGTTTAATTTATACAAATATAAATTTTTATATGAAAAACTCCTAGAAAAAAAATTTTTTGTAAAATTTTTTTTTTTTTTTTTTTTTAAGTTAGGTTTTAACTTGATTTTAGAAAGGAAAGCACGTGTTGCGAAAACGTGCGTGAGATTAAAATGTAAAACGAAGATAAGATCAGGTTCTGATCTTATGAACCATGGATGTTTCCAATAGTGGAAAATACCGAGAATAAATTTTTTTGTGAGTTCTCTTTAATTGAACTCTTGCTCCTTGTTTATCGATGCGATATTTTTGTTAGGTGGCAAAAAAATTCCGATGTAATTGCGACATTAATTGGATAGCTTGTTATATATTTTATTATGAAATTGCGTGATAAAAACGAGAAATAATTACGATAAAAGATAACGTGTGAATTTTAGCTAAACAGGCTATAATCATTTACACGCATATTCGGAATTTCTTCGCAACGAGTCAAAGTAACTGTACGTGCGTTCGCCACACGTGTTATTGTTTCACGAAGGGGATTCTTTGTTTGCAAACAAGATCCGAGATAACTTCCGCAAACGATAACCTGTGTAATTCACGCTCGTGTTATATATTATATCATTTCATGTGAATTAGTATCTACATTAATCAAGCCTTGCGTAATTGATCTAACAGTTCTCTCAAAAAATTCTTTGCCCCAGTTATTTTATTAAATCAATTTTAATAAACACTAATTTAATTTTGTCAATCAATTAATTGAGCAATAGAAGAAAAGAAAATTGGTTCTCAATGAATTGAGCTTGATAAAATTTTCAATTTTCAAAAATGAAAATTTCTTGCATCGAACCTCTTGAGAGATTCATAAACGTGCGTCCAATATGCTCCATGTCCATGATATATGAGACATTTTCTCGAAACCAGCTTAGCGCTTTTCCGGACGACATTCACGCGTCGTATGCGTGTGTGTGTGTGACCGCGTGCTTTCGTGCCCCCGCAGGAAAACTTGTATGTTTTCCGGTCAATCGTCCCTCGCGCACGCCCACGCAAAATTCTATCGAACTGGCATATGAAGCATGGCATTCATATATAATTCCTATTCGTTCACATGTAGTTCCACATATGTGCATGTTGAAGCACTCGCTTCCGGAGAAAGCTTGTCTGCCGATTATCGCAAAAAAATATTTCCCGTAAAGAAAAGAAAAGATCACGAAGACTGAATATTCGAATGTATAGTGAAAAAAAATTTTGATTGTAAATCTGAATACAATTTTGTATTGTCAGATCATATTAAAATCTCGATATCTTTTCTATGAATGTTTATTATCGGTAAAAGTTGATATTATTCTCATAAATAATTAATTAAATTTTATTCTAATAAAGATGTAAACTGAATTGTTTTATAAGTCTATATGAAAATTCGTTGAGAAATCAGTATGTGTCTTATATTTCGTTAAATATCTTTAGATATGTAAACGTATACTTTGTTTTTTATGTAATATAGAGAGAATAGCAATACTATCAATAAATAATTACATTATTAGGAAGGAATTACATATGAGGAAGGAAAATTTGAACATGACATCCAATAAAAAATTTACGATACCTCTTATCAGTCTTTCGATTTTGTCTACTGATCTCTCACGTCGTAGCGCTTAAAAGAAAAAGTAAATTTGGAGCCACGTGATTCTCGAATGGTATTACATCAGATATCACGAAAAAAAGTAAGGCGCCATAGTTAATTAAGTATAACAAAGTGTATTTCTTTCGATACTTGGAAGATAATTTGCAAAGGATTATAAGATGATATGATGATTATATAATAACAAGCATTTTTTGTATCAAGAACTATTAAGAAATAATTTATTTGCTTCTAAATTTTAACATTTATTCTTTTTATTATTGAAATGAGTAAATTAAAATGGTCTATAGTTCTTAAATCAGTATATCATTCTTTTTTACGTCAGGAAAGAGATTTTCATTTTAATTAACGTTATATTAGCAAATATCAAACAATCAAATATGGAAATAAGTATTTGGCATCTTCTAATTTTTTCATATATTTAGAAATAGATATTTAAAATTTTTTATTTCCTGCTTTGACATCGCGTGTGTGCATAGTTTCGGCACGATTAAACTTTGTTCGGTAAGATTCCGCGATCGACGAGGGCATTAGAGCTAATTGTCGGAGAGAGAGAGAGAGAGAGACAAAGAGAGAAAACCGAGGATAAATATCGGTTATCATTACTGCTTCGAACCAGAAATACGGAGGCGATAAGGCCGAGAAGATTCGACCTCAGCGGCGCCTTCGTCTGATTGTGAGTAAAAAAGAAAAAAATACAAAAAAAAAATGCTCTGTGCTGAAAGTATCGGATATGAATCGTCTGATTCTGAAGATAGGAACTACGATTCATTGAACGCCATTTATACACATGAGCTCTTTCACGTGCTCGTCGCGTGGATGTCTGGCGACATGTAGCAGTAATAAAAAAAACATTTCTATAGATAACTCTGTCAAATTTTTATGGTTGGACAGAACTCGCGTTCTCGATTTGTATTTGTAGCAGATATAATTTTATAGGCAGCAGATGCGATTTTATAGAAAATTCTTTCTATTTTGGACCGAAAGCAAATGGAAATATCTAAAATAAAAAATAGAGAATAAGCAATATTTTAAAAAAGATTTTAATTAAGTTCGTCATTAATCGTAGCAAAGAAAGTAAATTTATTTTCAGTAATTAGGATACATTTATGAATAATTATTTAATCAAGGAGATAAATTAAAACTGTTTTAAATGCTTGACTAATAATTATATCATCTTTAATTACTTTAATTATTTAAAATTTCGATAGGCAATGATCATAAAGCGTAGCATTAAGGAACAGACGAATTAGAATACAAGTCCCCAAATAATTTCCAAACTACATTTTATATCACGTACTCGTAGTCTAATCGCGGGACCTGAATTGAAATAAAGGTATTCAAATTCCGTCGACCGGTTCTTCCGCTTTCGACTGGATTCGATTTATGTTCGTTTCTCTTGTGACATGCATGTGAAAAGGTAAAACCGGTTGAGGAATGTCTCTTTTCCTCAGTTCATTATCATTTTTATGATAATCGGTTACCTTTTTACGTTTAAAGCCTTTACGTTTTGCGAATAACTGTACACTTGCACAATGTAAATTTAAATTTGAACAAATTATCGTTGTAATCAAAATTTATTATGACTTACTAAGTATATTAATCGTTACTCATCGATTCATAAAAAAAAAAGAGTAACGAAAGTAATGAATGTAATGAGCAAACATAACACATATCATAACTTTAGATAAAAATTTGTGACAAATATTGATATTCTTCACTTTCTTAGCATCAATGCGATGGAAATATATAGGGGTTTTTCATGTTTTTAAAATATCTTATTAATAGCAAAATGATCTTCTCTACCTAATGTAAATCTAATTTTTCTTGCTAGAAAGATGACAATTGGTTTACTCTCATTGATTTACGCTTTTAGAATTATTTGAAATTATTGCAGATATTTTTTTGCACGCAAATTTGTTATAAAATTTTGATTGAAAGATCTATGTTATTTCATAGATCTTAAAATTCAATTTATTATAAGAATTTCTTTGTTTGGAATGCGTTGTTTTAAAAAAGCAAGTTTTTTTTTTTTTAAGTAACAGTAATGTATGCGTGCCTGACAAAATGGCAAAGAGCAGCAGTTCAAGGTTAGTCGGTATAATATTTACATTCTCATGTACATCGTTTACATTCTTCT